TTTCGTTAAATATATCACATATATATATATAATATATATATAAATATCTTATTTTTGTTTTTTGTTTTTCCTTCAGCTAATAAATACAATGGACGTTCATTAAAACGTGGAGGAGAAGAGGATTGTGGAAATTGAGAAAAATTATCCGGAAGACTATTTGGAATAAAATGTTGACCGGAATCTGTCATCATCATTCCTTGAGTATTTGGAGTAGTTGCTCTCTTTATAGGTACACTAAGTCTTTGTCTATTCATGTGACCATTAACAGGCGAATCCGGATGTGATCCAGGGTGAAATAATAAACCATGTGATTGACGCGCTCTTTGAGCAGTGAAAGCAGCTTCCAAACCATGAACTTTATCTCTTAATTCCCAAGCGGAACTATGATCAACACAAACCTTGAGAACGCTCAAAGTACTTAACAGATGATCATGAGCAGGTTTAGAAAATCGTAAATCAGGAGATGACATATTGACAAGATGAATCATGGAAGCAGCAACCATACAATATACACCATAGTTTCCTCCGCGGATAGGAAATTGAAATACAAGGGGACCCCATTGACCATGGGCCATTCTCACGATTGAAGAAATATTATTTGCAGCTACGGTACAAATATTTAAGTGATTTGGATTTGTGTGAGAAATTTTTCCATTTTCAATAGTCGATATATAAGGACGATGAAGTAAAATGACTACAGTATGATATAAAATGTTGATAAAACAAGCAAAATGAGAAGTTTGAGGAGCAACACCATTATTATTTTCTATTAATTGTTGATATCTAAGTCCAGATGGAAGAGCTTGTAACCAAGCATCTAATGCAGTATCTAAAGTTTGAAATTTTGGATTTGATGACCAAGCTTGTAACGAATTGCCAGAACCCGCTGAAGCGATTGTCGACAACACACTTGATAGAATTTTAATAAGACGGACGAAATGAACAAATTCGGTTTGAATTTGAAATTCCTGTTCGTCATCGAAATCACTTTTTAAGGGGAGGTCAATATCTGTATTCGACAAGAATATGGCAGTATCTCGACCTAAATAGAAATGATAAAAATAATTACAATTTAAAATAATTATAAATAATTATAATAGTTTAAAATAATTATAAATAATTATAATAGTTTAAATAATTATAATTTAAAATAATTACCCTGCGCACCGCCCATTAATTGATCGTAAATAAAGCAAGTTTGCCATACACGTTTTCTAACAATCATGTCTTCTCTACTGATTTCTAAATTCCACTTTTCAAAGTTTTTTTCTAGATCTAAATCTTGTGCCATACGAAGAATGATACCAAAATATACCCAACTTCTAAAGAAGAATCCAGGTCGACGTACACCTTCTTGAAATTTTAACAATAAAAGTTGTGCTTGTATTGTAGATAATCGAGGAGCATCAAAGAAATCATCTAATAAATCTAATTTTTAAATTATTTTAAAAATAATATTTAAAAAATAAATAAATAAATTAGTATTATATTAAAATGAATAAAATTAGTATTAAATAAATTGAATAAGTTTGTAAAAAAAATAAAATTATACCTCTAGCTCTGTTAAAATAAATGTATCCAGCAGTTTCAGGTTTCAAAGGATCAAGACGAACTACGGGGTCATCAGAAAATTTTGCACCCATAGCAAGTACGGAATAGAATAATAAAGGCGAAATAGGATTATTCTTATCATTAAGACGTCGTATAAAATCATTCTTGTTCAATATTGGGACGTATGGATGAACGTTGGCAAAATAAAGACCAACCAAACTTTGAATTATTTCATGTGTAGGATAACCATTTTCCGAAAAATTATCGCATGGTAATGGTGGTTCTGTATAAATACCACCATCTTTTTTGAGCATCATTCCTTCTAAAGAATGAATGTAATTTGCTCTACCAGTGTATGCTATTTTCATGTGGCCCATGACATCAGTTAATGAGTCAACATAATCAACACCATTTATTGCTGAAGGAAAAACAAAAAACAAAAATAAGATATTTATATATATATTATATATATATATGTGATATATTTAACGAAA